TGGTTTGGAGTAACCTGGGATAGTGGAAGGTGTCCCTGCCCATGGCAGGGGGTGGCATTGGGTGAGCTCTAAGGTCCCTTCTCACCTAACCCATCCCCAGGGCTGTGATTGCTCTGTGAGGCCCCTCTGCACTGTTATTTCATCAATGTTTAATTCCATCACCTGCAACTTCCAGTCCCACTGAGGTGAGTGGTAAATCCAGATTCCTTTTGGAATAGAGCAATTGACATTTTCCTTGCCCAGTGAGTAATTCCCCATGAACCTGCAGGCAACTATTAAACGTGAGGGCCCTACTGCTCGAGCCGAGGACTTGAAAGTGCATCTGGTGATGTCTGATTTGGCTCCTGACTGCCAAAAATTGTTGTATAAAGCTTTGTGAATAAAAATAATTATATTTCCATTTTAATAACAGCTGTGGTTTACAGCACCTGGTTGAGGAGCTGGCTGGGTGGCACAGGCAGGGCAGGGGAAGGAGCTGGCAAAGAGATAAAGAGCACAGATGGGACAAGAAGCTTTTTGAAGTGGGAAGGGAGGACGAGCTGCGACAGGCCCACGCCAGGAGTGTCACCAGTGCAGACACTGCAAAGGTGCCCGAAGCAAACCCTCCCTCTGCTCCTCCCCCAGCGCTACGTGGACGGAGGCTTCACAGGCCTGCAGCCCGTGTCCAGCCTGGAGGAGCCCGTGATCACCGTGTCCCCGTTCACCGGAGAGCTGGACATCTGCCCCCGCGACTGCCCCGCCATCTTCTTCTGCTTCCAGATCTTCAATGGCAGCATCCAGATCTCCATAGAGAATCTGTGCAGGATCAGCTACGCTCTCTTTCCACCCAGCACCATGGTGAGCCCACCAGCACTTCTCCCAGCTCAGTTTTGGTGAAAAGATTAATGCTGTTCATGCCTTGTCAAGATTTAAGGGTCAGCTCAATCTCCACTGTTAATTAATGGAATTTCAAAGGGAGGGGGCAGCACCCACTGTTTCTGCAGTACATTTTGGAGGGGGCACTGCTGGTGGGTGGCCAGCTTGGGATGGGGTGCACAATCTGCAAAGGACCAGACAAAACCAGGTGATCCCTTCCAACCCAAAGCATTCTGTGTTTCTCTGACCAGTACTGTGGTGGCTGGAAACCAACCACTGCTTGCTGCCTTCCCAAATGGGCCATCCTAACCCTCCACAATCAAACAGCTTTGGATAGATCCTGTAGTATTGGAGACAGGGCACGTTAGTGACCTCAAGTGTTTCTCCTTGCAGGTCTTGAACGACATTTTCTCCCAGGGGTACCAGGACACTGCCCTTTTCCTGTACAGGAACAGTAAGTGGCACCCCAGGACCTGAGGGGCACCTGGGTGTGACACAGACAAACATCATCCCTTTCTCTCCGTGTCTCCCAGATGCCTTTGGCTTTAACTACTTCGATGGCAATTTCCGCTTTGGCAGCACCTGTGGGAAGAACGACTCTGGAAAACCCAACGGGACACACCCCGGCCTGTACAAAAGGGTCCCTCAGTGCCTGACCCCTTACTTCCTGCCAGGTAGAGGATTTGGGGTGCTCAGCTTGGGTTTAGGGCAGCTGCAACCTTCAAGAGTGGCAGTGTTATATTTAAGAGTTATTTATTCAACATTTCTATTGCAAAGAGACTTTGTAAGAGTGGCTCCAGCTGGACTCTGGCATGGGCTTCAGAGCTGGACAAGAGGAGTTATTGCATTCATTTCATTGTTTGTAATTACTGGTCTTTATTTCCTTGTGTGCTGTCATTCCTGGGTGCAGGCTTGTGGAAGAAGGAGCAGGTGAATGGACTGCAGGACCCACTGGCGAAGGTCCTGCTGCAGCCGTACAGGCTCCCAGCCTTATTCAGGAAGGGGTAAGAACATCCCAGCAGAGGCATTAGGGAATGACACACAAACCAGGGGCTGTGCCTTTAGAGGAGGCTGGGTAGCTGAAGGGACATGTGGAGAGATTTGGTGTTTCCTGAAGGCAAGACCCAAGGAAGAGAGGGTACAGCTGGTGGGAATGCCACAGGATCTCATGGTTATTGCAAGATTATTACATTACATAAGTGTGCATTTACCATGAACACCCTCTCCTTTTGCTGCCTTTAGCCATCATTAAACTCAGCCTGCATGCTTTGCTTTTGCAGGGTGAAGAAGGTGTGGGGGCTGCTGGAAGGTGTCAGCTCCCTGGTACAACGACTCCACAAGCTCCTCCAAACCTTGGTGCCTGGTTTGCCTAAGACAGCCGTGGACAGGAGGAGGTGAGGGACTGGGGGGCTGCAGACCCTCAGCATAAAGAGAGCAGGGTACAGAGCAGGGAAATCTTTGGGAACCTCATCCACTGGGTCACTGATGCTGAGTGTGGCTAAAAACGCCAAGCCTGGAGTAGCTCACATTAAAAGTAGATATTTTTTTTATCCCTATGATATTATTTTGGTATCTCAAAAAAGCTACAAACCAGCTTAGTGCCACCTCCCTATGGCAATACAGTTGTGTCCCAGATATTTATGTGCTGGGCTCTGTCCTGGCAGGACACCAGGCACATTCACCAAGATCCTGAGAGATGTTCAGGCACTAAGCTCTCAGGGATTTAAAGTATAGCCCCCAAAATCTGCTTGCGAGTTCCCTCCTGTGCAGCTGCCCAAGAGACTCGAAATAATTTTGCCCTGAGGCAGCTGCAAGCTCCTCAGCTGTGAGAAAGCCCTTTGGAGTCAAACATTCCTGGGGCTGCTCATCCCTGTCAGTACCTTGACCCTGCCTCAACTCTCACCTTGTTCCCACAGGTAACAAGGATTGTCCCAGCGGAGCCCTGGGGGTCTCCAGCGCTGCCTCGGAATGTGGTGGGCAACACCAGCACACACCACCACGGCTGCATGTTCCCGAGGGGATTTTTGGGGAGTATTTCTTCTCTTCAGAACCTGTCTGGTTCTGCCTGCAGTGCTGCCACTGCAGTACCCCTGCTCAGGCCTCACCTGCTCTTCCATGATGGCTGAGGCAAAGCTCCGGGGCCACTCCTGGGACTCACCCCAGGCTGCAGGAGCCACGGGGCAGCTTCACCTGCAGCTCCCACAGCCCAGCCCTTTCCCTGCCCACTGCATCTCCTCCCCACCAGCAGCATCCCTTCCCTGCTTTAATGCAGATTACAGGGCAGGCAGTTGCCAGGAAATGCCAGGTTTTAAGTGTTTTCCTCCCACTCAAATACCTCCAGAGAGATTCCTCAGGAGAGAGAAAGAGAGAGAAAAGCTGTAGGGAACATCATACTGGGCAGGAACTAATTTTTCTACAGTTCCCGGAAGTTTTTTTTACCAATTATCAGTTCTTGAGCTTCACACTTCCCCACAGCCCTGCTTCTCCTGCCTGTGGAGGTGGGAGTGCATTTGGATCCCCCTGGAACTTGCAGCTGTGCAGAAGGATGGAGAAATCTAAAGATTAGCTTCCCCCTACTTCCAAGTCCTGCAGGCTGCATCTCCTGACATTTCATAAATGCATGAGTTCTGCAGTTGTCTGTAACTCAGGGCCACACACAGAGCATGGCCCAGGCAAACACACCCTGTGTCACTGGTCTGCACACAGAATTAATAGCAGTGCTCTTAATTATCCCAAACCTGTGCTGCATAGCAGAGGCTGTGGATGGCCCCAGCTTTGCCCCAGCTGTGTCTCCCCTGTTTGTTGGTTCTCAACAGGAAACAAATGGATCCCAACAGCAGCAGCTGTTTATTAGAGTAAAGAGCCTGTTTAATTGCACAAAGGGAAATGGAATAGAGGGCAGTTTCATCCAAAGGGCTATGGAGACTGCAGGAACGAATGTAGGGAGTAGCTGAAGGCAGCTTTGATGTAACCAGCCTCAAAGTTAATTAGGAGTGCTGTGTGAAAGAACAATATCCTATATTCTGCCATCTTTTGTTGAAATCAGTGATCTGGTTATACTTTCTGTGGAATGAGTTTGCTAAAAGAAACCTGGATTCTTATTTCACAGAATCATTAAATGGTTTGGGTTAAAAGGGACCTCAAAGCTCACCCTGTTCCACCCCTGCCATGGGAAGAACACTTTCCACTCTCCCAAGTTGCTCTAAGTCCCGTGAAACCTGGCCTCGGACACTTCAAGGGATTCAGGGGCAGCCACAGCAGCTCTGGGCACCCTGTGCCAGGGCCTGCCCACCCTCCCAGAGAAAATACCTTCCCAGTATCCCATCCACCCCTGCCCTCTGGCAGTGGGAAGCCATGGAGCCTTGGCCTGTCCCTCCAGTTCCTGATGAGGGGTCCCTCTCCAGCTTTCTCTGTAGCCCCTTCAGATCCTTGGTGGGGCTGTGAGGCCTCCAGACAACCCTCTCCTCTCCTGGCTGAACAGGCCCAGCTTTCTCAGCCTGTCTCCTTAGGGAAGGTGCTCCAGTCCCCTTAGAACTTCCTGGCCCATTTTGATGGATCCCGTTTGTATTGGATCCTGTCTGCTCCTGTCTTCCATCCATCCTGGATGGATTTACTGCTCTCAAGCCCTGCAGACAAAGCCAGGCTGCTCAGCTGTTCCTGCCACAGGGCAAAGTGGAAGGCTCAGAGACAGCCAGCCCTCCCCAGGCAGGTACAATCAGCCCATCATTTGCTTTTGCACCTCTGCTCCCTCCCACTTATCCAACAGCTCCTTCTCCAGGCTGCTGCAAGCACCATCCCCACCTCCAGGCAGGAATTTGCCATTTCAGTCGGCCTGAAGTTCAATAGTTACCCTATTGAAACGGGCATTAAAATCCCCCCAAGAAAATTCTCATCTAGGAATTGGACTTCCCAATCCACTAAATGCATCTGCAAAGTTCAGCCACAAACAGGAGCACAGTTTGAACTGCCCAGTGTATCCCACCTGCCCCATGCAGAGCTTGATCAAAAACAATTAGTAAAACTTGGAGAAATTTAACAACAATCATTCTGCAAGGAACTCCCAAGCTAAAATGGCCTCAGCACAGAACTCTCCTGCTCCAAACCTGCAGGAATGAGCAAGAAATGAGTACTTAACAATTTAACAATTCAGTATTCAAATCAGCTGGGTTTTGCTTTATTAATCCCTCATCTTTTCAAGCAAGCAGGGCTGATGCTGTCTCCTCTTGGAGACATGAGCTTGGAGCTAATGGCAATGGAGGTTTTGCCAGAGGCAATAGATAGACGCAAAGTTTGGCGTTGATTGGAATCATCTTGTGCAGGAGCTTGTTTCACCCTAAGGAAGCAAAGTGGGAAGCCCAGCTGCACCAGTGGGGATAGAAGCAGCCTGGAATGCCTCCTCTAGAGGTGGATCATGGGAATCATCCAGGGGCTGTGGCCCTGCCTGTGCTGTGGCATTGCTGGCACAGTCCATGTGCTCCTCAGGGCAGGTCAGGCTCAGCCTTCAGGCTGGGTTCAAAGTTGCTCATTGCCTCTTTAAAGTGTAACCTGGGACCAAAGGCAGCAGTGGGCTCAGAAATGCTCTTCTGTGGCTGAGCTGGCCCTAAAGGGAATAAAACCACATTGGTCAGTCTGACAGACACCTCAGGCAGTTCCTGTAGGACAAACTGGATTCAAGTGCCTGCTCAGAGCACTTCCCTTCCTCCTGTTGTCTAAAGGGCAGCAGGTTTTGGTATCCTCAGAATATCACCCTCATACCCCTGTCTTCATTCTGCTTTGAGCTCAGCAGAAATGTGAAGCCTGAGGTGGATGGGATGAGAGTCTGGAGACAACCCAAGACAGCAGAGCTCCCTCTGGAGCTGGATCCCACTGCAGGTCTAGAGGGAAGAGTCCTTGAGTGATGCATGAACCTGAGCCAACAAAGCCAAGCATGGGCCCAGTCCTGCTCGTGGCCCTGGCTGTTGGCTGCAGGTCCCTCATGCCAGACTCGGTTTCCAGTCTGGGTACTGAGGAGGGTGCAATTCCTTGTGCAATTGTCCTGCTGGGCACATGGATAAGAGGCAAGTGCTTGTGGATAACCTGCTAATGCAGCCTGAGCCTCGTGGGATTGCAGCTCCAGACACTTGTCCTCTGGAAATGTCACTTGTTCAAGAAATCAGGTACAAATTGTTCACGAGTTTATCCCCCTGGTGCTTTGGTGGCATCAATGACATTCTAGCATTGCACAGACAGTGAAAGAGCCTTTGCCTGCCCTTCATCAGTAGGGCTTTTCCTTGCCAGAAGTGGAAAATCCTCTGGAGAACAAGAGCCTGGACTCACCCCTGGATTGGTCTCTGGCCTAACAGATGAGTCTTGATTCCTTCCACAGGAGGAATTTTTCACCTGAGATTGTTCAAAAATGTTGCAGCCCAGCTGCAAACCAGAGACAGAGATCCCTGATAGCCCAGAGCTGCCCAACATCCAAAGAAACCTCATTCCCACCTTGTTGCTACCAAAAGCTCCACATAGCTCAGACTGATGGAGCCTTTAGAAAAGCAACCAGGGAATCAACTTCTACAGCCTAACACTGTGTCCTGCATTTCTTAGTGGGTCTAGAGTCGGTTTGTTTTCAAAGGAAATACCTTTCTTGCTCCTATTTTATGTTTTACAAGCTTTTCTTTTTAGATCTGGAATGGTAAAAGTCCTATTCTTTCCCCTGTATGTTGCTCATTTGTTGTGATTTAGCAGATTGTGTCATTTTTCACATTTAATTTATCTGACTACATTTTAAATAATCATCATGTTGAAAAAGCTGTGTAATTTTTCTTAAGCTGATAAATTCTGAAATGTTGAAAGACTTAGAAAGAAGAAGAAAATAAAGAGTAAAATGGAAAGAAATTTTGCATTTCATCAGCTGCTTCTTTGTAATTTTTAGTAACAAACTGCAAAGTGAAATGCAGAGGATTCACTGGTTTTCCATGCAAAACTAAAATGGGAGTGGGCATTATTTTGTATAGGATTGCAGAAAACGATAAGTTTTGGATTTAAACCTGCCTTGTGTTGCTTGAAAATGATACAGTAAGAGGTTTACCTACAGCTGTGATATGCTTTCCTTGCACTATTTCTGTGGCTGCAGCCAGAGTTCCTAAGGAGATGTTTGGATTTGGCTGGCATAGCAAAGGCAGCTTAAACCCTTGAGACACCCCTAACGAAGGGATGTGTGGGCAGAACCTGTTCTTACCTCACAAGGTGAGTGAATACATGGCCTTCTCCATGGAAAGAGCTCTGACCCAGCCACAAATGAAGTCCCCAGTGCTCACCCATGTTGAGGGCGAGGGCTCAGTGTGAGGCCCCACTTGTAACCCCTGACCTGAGAGGGAACTTTCTCCCATTCCTGATGTTCTCAGCTGCCACAGAGCCTCTCTGGGCACTGACAGCCCTGGGCAAGTGTCACTTGAAAACTGATGGGGTAAAGGAAGCTGGTACTTTACCTTGCTGGGGGTGGAGAAGGGGTGTGGGGCTTCCTCTTCTTCATCTTTTGCTGGCTGATCCCTGAGTTCTCTGTGGTGTCATCCTCATGATCGGTGGCTCTTGAGTGAAGAACCCTCATTTGTGGCTTCAGGAGCAGGGTTTCCTCACCTTTCTGAATGGATTCATTGGCCAAGGAAAGTGTGAAGCCCTCAAAGTAATTCACCTGGAAATCCCCTGGTGGGAAGAGATTCCAGCTCTCACTGCTTGTTGCTAAACTGCCAGGTCTGCAGCAGAGTGAGGCACAACCTGGGCTGACTAGAAATCTGGGATACTGATGATCCCAGGGCTCACAGATCACCAAACATTGCTGCTCTGTGCACCAGGGGCTTCAAACACCACACAGGACACCTGAGCATGTGCTTCTGTCTAGAGGCCCTAGGACCTGTGTTCCCTGGGGAAAAGCTCTGGCATGCCCAGTATGGCAGAGAAAAGGGGAGTGTGGCTCCAGAGGGAACTTCAGGAGAGGCCAGGACTCAGGTAATCCTGGCAGTGTCAGGAATACAGGCATTTCTCTGCCCCAGTCCCTCCGGGCAGCATCTCTTACCTTGTGTCAGCAAATCAACAACATAAGGGAAACACCAACCTACTTGTCCTCACTCCCAGTCACTTACTCAGTCTCTTTAGGAAGGAGACCGTGTCCTGGTAGCCCTCGATAAGAAAGCGGTCCATGACCTGTGGGGAGAAGTGGCACTCAGGGCAGCTGCAGGGGCTCATGGCTCTGCCTACCTGGAGGAGCAGCTCACCTGACGTTTAGGAACCAATAAAATGTTCTTTAATCGGCAGATGTTCATTTTTGAGATCTGCATGATACAATCAGCGAGCTGGAAGGTCAAGAAGGCAGCTGGGCCATCCCTGGGGCAGATGTCATATTCACCGGCGAAGGCAGAGATGGTGATGGTGGAGCGGGACACGAAGTTGGCTCTCCACATGGCCAGCTCCCCGTCCACGTAGCGCTGGGAGACAGAGCAGGGAGCCCTGAGCCTTGCCCTTGGCAGAGAGAGCAGTGCTGCTCACACAGGCAAATGTGGGCCTTGTTCCCCAGCCAGGCCCACACCAGACTGAGGTTCTGGGGCTCCAGGGATCCCCTTCCAGGGATTGGCTCCACCCACTGCTCCCCTGCTCCAGGTCCACACCCGCCCTGCTCCCTTCCCCCCAAAACACTCCCACAATGGAACTGGGAGGAAACTGCAGCACAAGGGAGCTGAAGCAACTCCAGGGACAGGGGAAGACGGACAATTCTGTGAGAAGCTCAGTCTGCAGTGAAGTCATGTTTTGGGGCCCTGTTCTTCCTTCTGCAGACACTGGGGGAACCCATCCTGAGCTATGTTGGTGGCAAACACAGATAGAAACATCCTTAACACCACCACTGGAGAAAGGAAAGATGCTGGAGGGGCCCTGGGCCTGAGCTGGCACAGGGTCTCCAGACCACAAAGCTACTCACCACCCCACGGTATTTTGGAGGGGAGAACCCAAAATACACCGGGACGTAGCAGCTGCACATCACAGCCTGTGGGTGAGATGGGAAGGACAGAGGTGAGCAAAGAGCCACAGAAACTGTGTCCTTTGGGGGTGGTGGCTCATCTGTGAATGCAAAAAGCCACCCCCCCAGCAGGGTTATTGGGCACCACTGACAAATGGGCACCAGACCATGAGGGATACCCACAGCCAGGGCAGAGAAGTAGGAAGGGAACTTTTGAAATGCCTCAATTTGCTCCTTGCATGTTCAGGATAACTCAGACAGCAATCCAAAAGAGCTGGTATTTTAAAATTATTTCAGCTTGTGTGGATTCAGAGGGTGGCAAGGACAGAAATCATGGCATAGACAAGAATGGACTAGGGCCTCTTAGGATATTACAAGGGGTGATGGTTTCTAACTACAAGGGCAGATTTAGATATTGGGCAGATAGTTTTTATCATGAGGCTATTGAGGCCCTGCATAGGCTGCCCAGAGAAGCTGTGGCTGCCCAGTTGTTGCCCAGGGCTGGGTTGGACGGGACATGAGAACAGCCTGGGACAGTGGAAGGTGTCCCTGCCCATGACAGGGCTGGAACTGGAGGAGCTTTAAGGTCCTATCCAACCCAAACCATTCTGTGATTTTGTGCTGTGGGACATGGCTGGGCAGCAAATGTCACCCAGCTCCTCCCTCACGGGGTGGCTGTGGCTGCTCCCACCTGAATCAGCTCCTCATTCGAGGCAAAATCAGACACTGTCACATTTCTCCAGTCGTGCAGACGGGTGAGGACAATGTGCAGCTTTCCAGACAACAGCTCGTGAGCATTTGGAGGCAGGAATTTTTGTAAGGCATCCTTTAATAGTTTGTGTATCCCTCCTCCAGGGACCAGGCCCCAGAAAGAGGTTTTCAGACGACTGAGTAAATACTCCTTTACCTCATCTGAAGTAAAGCAAAGGCAAGCAATCATTCTACATCCCTTACATTGTTATTTATGTACTTTCTAAGCTACACTTCCACCAGGGAAAGGGGTATCTTATCTGCTAAATGCTCATTTAGAACCACTGTTTTCCTTAGGGCTGTAGCTCCAATGTGTGGACCCAACTTTTCCAAGCACTTTCAATATTGCAGGAGGCAGATGCATTTTGTTTTCTTTCCCCATTTCTCCCCATTCTCTGCACAAGGCATCTTAAAAGTTTTTGGACATACGGGAGAAAATTGACAGGAAGCATTTGTATAACATTTCCTCCTGTTAGCTCTGCATCTCTTCCCTGCTAATGGGATTTCTTTCCCCTTGTTGTTTTGGCAATCTACCAACAATCCCAAATGCCTTATCAGGGAGAGCACCTCTGTTTTTTTATTAGAGATGCTTGCCATTAGTTCCAGTTAATAAGATGCAGTGACTATATCTACGCTGCTTTCTCTGTGCTGCCTAATTTACTCATGTTTTCCACTCTTCAAGAAGCCAATAAAGTAAAAAATCTGAGGAATTAACCACTGATAATGAAAAAAAAAATCGCAACTGTAAAATTCCCAGATATTCCATCTCTTCAGACAAAAAATATACAAAAATCTGTAGCTCTTACCCACATCACATCCACACAGTCCAAGTGAAGATATAACTGATCCTGAAGATGACCCATAGATCCTGTATGCAGATTTCATTATGTCAGGAGACAAATCCTGCAAAGCAGATAACACTCCAGCTTGGTATGGAATCATGAAACCACAGCCTCTTAACAGTATAGAGTAAGGTCTTCCCTCTTTTCCACTTATTTTCAGCATCTCTGCTAACTCCAAGGACCCCAACAAGAAGAAAACAGCTGCCCAACAGCTTCAATGGGTTTTCCCCAGCAAGCCAACCCTCAGCTGTGGTTCTCTTTCCAACCACACTCTCAGTGTCTTATATACCTCTGTTTGACATCAGCCTGTGAGACAAAGGTCCAGTGAAACAGCAGCAGTGGGCAGAAGTAGATGATGTGATGTCCTAATGCTCATTAAAATAAGATTACTGCATTGCAGGGTGGCTGAGGTGAGCACTGGCAGCCCCAGGCGATGGGGGCAGCCACATGTCACACCTATGTGTTGGTAGAGCAGCCCAGGGCTCTGGTGGGCCCCAGGACTGAGGCTTTTGGAGGGAAAAGCTGCTTCCCAAAGTGGTGAACTGCTTCAGTGATACCCTGGAGTTCCAGCACAAAATTCCTGCCTCTTGGGCAGTAGGAATCTGCAAATATTCCTTGGTACAAAACAGTCTTGCAAGCTGCTGCTCAAAACTCTCTTGCCCCATTTGCAACAGGTTGCCAAACCCCATCCCAGGGAGTGGAGAAGGTGGCTGGATTACTAGAGAAATCATAACAGAATTTGGACAAGGTGATCGGGTTACTGAAGAAATTACAACCTAAGTTGTTTTCCTTGTTTCACAATTTCAGGGCCTGAGTTTGCTTGCAAAACGGTAAAAATACAGAGTCCAGGTAACAACTTGTGGTTTCACCTGCCTCCTACATGGCCAAGGTTTCAGTAGGGCAACAGGTCAATCAAGAAGGAAAGAAGGGACAAAAAGGCTGACAAATGCAGGGATGTTTTGGTTATCCCCTTAGAAATGCAAAGCCTTGTTAGCTTTGCAGCTGGGTGAGACATTGGGAAGCTGCAAGTGGGAAAAGCAGCACTGAGAGCTGAGCAAGTGGCCAGCACAAACAATAACAACTGGGACACGCCTCATATGAAACACATGGAAATCTAGCCAACATCTTCAGACAAAATGCTCCCAAAACCACCAGGAAATGCTTCTCTCCCTCTTGCTGGGGCAGTGCTGGATGGAGCTGGATACAGCCATGATCTCTGTGAGGGGGCTGCAAAACAGCCCTGAGGGTGACAGAGCAGCTGTGCTGGGTGTGCTGGGGCTGACAGGGCTGTGGGCTCCACTCCCAGCATCAGCCCAGGGTTAATCCAGCCCCAACTGCAGACGGGAGCAGTGTCTGCCACTAGCCAGGAGCCAAGGCACTGAGCTCCTTGCACACACCTTGCTGATCCTGCTGCTGAGCAGCAAAATAAAACTGAAGACTCGAGACAAGGGGAAGAAATATATTCCATGCCTAATCAAGAGGACAAATGCACTGGAAATCACTTTCCATCTCTTCTTTAGTGCAAAGATCCCCTAAGAATTAACTGCAATGAGAAGAGTCAACTTCAGCAGCTGCTTCTGCTGCAGGAGGGAAGTGGCATCTGGAAGCCATGGGTGAGGCACACAAAGCCCTTGAGCTTAAGGAAAACCTTTATGCACAACTCCATAGCTTGGGGAAAAACCAGAGCCAGTCTTAGAGAAGCACCAGCATTCCCAGTGCTTCAAGCCTTGGGTTCAAGCTCTCCTGTCCTCAGATAGCAGCACAAGAGGGAACTGGAAATGTAACACAGTATTGCACTGCTTTCCAAATACAGCTAGAGAACTCTGGCACTCCAATCCCAAACCAAACCCATGGATCACACCACACAAGTCATAGTTTATTCTTAATTGCGGCTTTGTAATATTGAGATTGTTTGTAAATGCCTTTGTTTTACCTTCTTACCCAATCTTGCAGCACCAAGAAATAAACAGTGTTTAGCATTGAAAAGCAGAAGGAAGCTAAGACTGAATCTACTTATTCCCTCCTAGCAGATAGTGCCACATCTCCCTGGCTTTCAAAGCCTTGCACTGTCCCTGGTGTCTTCCAAAAGGAGCAAGGAGTTAGAAAAAAATTTAGTTGGGTGCAGATAGTGTCAGAGTGAGGTACCCAGGGTTCCAAAAAGGTGGGGCTTGGAAAGAAGAAATCCAGGTGATCTGAGTAGGAGTGACCCAGGTGGCATAAACAGTGATTGGGAAATGCTGCTGTGGAAATGCAGAAGCTGTTTCTTGGCCTTTCTCTGCCCTGCCCTGGATGGGACACAGGCTGTATGTGTCCCTGAGTGATGCCCTGTGTTTCAAGTCTGTTGTTTTACCAGGCCAAACACCCTTGTGGCATTTGGCATTTCCCCATCACTGGGTCAGAAAGTGCTGCGAGCCCAGGGACCCTGCTCGCCTGTCCCTCATTTCTTCATCCCAGCTTTGGGGACAGAGCCAAGCTTGGCCTTGGGCAAAGAGACCACCCAGTGTGGGCCACTTGGAAGCTCCATTAGGCAAAGGGAACCAAGGAACCTGTGTGCCTGACAATACAGGACAATAGCCCAAGTAGGATATTCCTCCTGTGGGATTCAAATGAACCAGGAGCCACCTCAGCTGCTCAGCCAGGACATGGCAGGGACAGGCTGGCACCTGCCAGGACATTCTCTCAGCTCCCCAAGGTAGAATATTTAACGCACAGCTGACACCAAACCGCTTCCCTTCACGGATCTGCCGCAATGACAAAGCTGTGACCTCAGGGCTGCCCCATTCTGGGAATGCAGCGTGTTTCTAACCCATTTTCATTTCTGATGTGTAAGTCCTTTCAAGAGGAAGACTTTGAGGAATTTGTTTCTTTGGGACAATGAATCACCCCAGAATCCAACGTGCAGCTGTCAGACTTCAAGCACTGGCACAGACCTTGACCAGCAGTTCCACAGGCAATGAGGAGCTGGTGCTGTGCGAGCAGGATCACGGCTGGGAGCTGTGGATGCACTGCTGCCCTCACAGATCCCCTGCATGACCAGAAATATCTCCTGCACCTGAGAAATACAGGAAAAGCCATGTCCCGGATGGTTTTACACACAGCCACAGCTTTGCTCCCCGCAGACAGTGGCTGGCTGCTCAAAATGCACCCCCCTGGCTGAAGGAGCTTTAGCTGGCCAGGGTTTGGGACACAAGGCAGCAGGCAGGAGGGGCTGAGCTCATTCAAGCTCCCACAGAGCTCATTCATTCACACAGAGCCCTGTCCAGAATTCCCTGCTCCAGCCATACTTGTAGCAGTGCCCAACAGCGATGTAAAAGCCCCAGGACAATTGAAAAGAGCGCTACAGACCAGGAAGAATTTGGAACCCTGACACTGCTGATGCAAAAGGCACTAGGAAAAAAAGCTGCTGGCTGCAAGGAGGTGAAGTGGGGAGGGCTTGTGGAGGCCAGGAAAGCAAAGCTCCTGGGAGATTTCCAGCACAGGGGCAGAGTATCCCTCTGCAAGTCAGCAGGGACTGCCTTAAGCTGTATCCTCTGCCACAGTTCCTGGAACAAAAGGGTGCTTTGGCTTCACATTTCCATCAGCAGGACTGTGCCAACACCAAAGGATTCACCAGTCCTGCTTCCCACACACCAGCCCACCCTCAGTGCCTCCTGCTCCCGTGGATAATTGGAAACACCCTGTGATGCTGCAGGGTCCAAACCAGGCAATCTGACCATTCCGTATAGCTACAGGAGGACTGAGGGGCAGAAAGACACCAATGCAGAAAGCCAAAAGAGCAGTTCTATTTTGGGTTGAAATCTCCTGTAAGAGCCTAATCTTAGCAAAACCCAGTTGGTGTTCCTCTCTCTCCTTCATGGAAGATGAGTTTTATTATTTGTGTCTAAACAGTCCGTGATTAATCAAGGAGTTTCCATGGCACCTCCCCAGTTTAGTGCACTGGAACAGGAGCAGAATAAAGGAGTGGCCTGGACAGGGGTCTGAACTTGCCCACGCTGGGGCCTTGCTCACCTGTGTGTGCTCACCTGGGCCCCTCAGCTGCCTCTTGGCTGCTCGATGTTTCAGCACATCCCAGTCGCTGCCTCCTCAGCAGGAAGCGCTGACACTGGCCCAGGGAGCACATTCCCAACCCTGCCCTCCTGCCAGGACACAGATTTTAGAAGAGCTGACCACATGAGTGATGTTTTTGCTGCTGATGTCACAGACAACCTTTATTCTAAGTAGGAAAGAAAAGAGTGGGAATGATCCACCCTGGACCTTGCCTCACTAATTGGTATTTCTGTGACTTTGGCAGCTTCCAGAACATGCTCCAACACATTTATCTTCCCTTCTACCAGAATTGTGGCACATGAACCTCCAGTCTATCCTATGTCCAGCATTAAGGAGAGAAACCTTTTCCCTGTTCCTGTGACAAACACCTCATCTGGGAACACGAGGTGATGATGTCACTCCCCAGGGCAGCCTCGTGAGCTGCCCTGATGGTGATGAAACAGTGACTTCAGCACAGTGACTTCACCTGGCTCTGGAACTGTGCCCTGTGCTCACAGCCAAGGGCTCTGCACAACAGCCCTGCTCAGCCCTGGGCAGAGAGCACCAGGAAATGGTGGTTTCCAGATCACCTCCAGCTGGAAGGTCTTCTGGCAGGCACGGCTTCATTTCAGGCCAGAAGAGATTCCTTAGCCTTGTCAGACCCTTAGGATCTGTTATACCACTAAGAGATGTTGGTAGTTGAGAACAGAATCCCGGAATTGTTTGACCTGAAAGAAACTTTAAACTGTATCAAGTTCCACCTCTGCCATGGCAGGGACACCGTCACTATCCCAGATTGCTCCAAGCCCTGTCCAACCTGGCCTTGAAATAATTACACACCAGAGCCAAGTGTGAGCCCTGCACAATAAAGGCACAGCTGGGATGTCTGGGTTACTTGGGAAAAAGCTCACCCTTGTTGATTTATACCTAAGTGACAGCCTGGGAGTCTGCAGTGCAGGGGCTGGTGTGTGACAGCAGGAGGATGATGCACTTCCAAAATTCTGAAATCACAGAACCATGGAATGGTTTGGGCTGGGACGGACCTTAAAGCTCATCTCATTCCACCCCCTGCCATGGGCACATTTCACTAGACCAGATTGCTCCAAGTCCCATCCAGCCTGGCCGCGCTCCAGGTGCCCCCTGGTGAATCTCCGTTCCCTGGATTAACCACTATTCTTTGGGCTCAGGAGCCCTGCTCAGGGCTCGGCCGTTCCCGTTCCCATCGCTCTGAGGGCCCGGCCGTTCCCGCTCCCGGGGCTCTGAGGGCTCGGCCGTTCCCGTTCCCATCGCTCTGAGGGCACGGCCATAGCCGTTCCCGCTCCCGGGGCTCTGAGGGCTCGGCCGTTCCCGCTCCCGGGGCTCTGAGGGCTCGGCCATAGCCGTTCCCGCTCCCGGGGATCTGAGGGCTCGGCCGTTCCCGCTCCCGGGGATCTGAGGGCTCGGCCGTTCCCGTTCCCATCGCTCTGAGGGCACGGCCATAGCCGTACCGCTCCCGGGGCTCTGAGGGCTCGGCCGTTCCCGCTCCCGGGGCTCTGAGGACTCGGCCGTTCCCGCTCCCGGGGCTCTGAGGGCACGGCCATAGCCGTTCCCGCTCCCGGGGCTCTGAGGGCTCGGCTGTTCCCGTTCCCCTCGCTCTGAGGGTACGGCCATAGCCGTTCCCGCTCCCGGGGCTCTGAGGGCTCGGCCGTTCCCGCCTCCAGCCCCGCGCGAGGGGCGGGGCCTCCTGCCCTCACGCCTGCCCTTTGCCAACATGGCGGCGGCAGCAAGTGGCAGCCCTGCGCATGCGCCATGGAAGCCTTTAGCTACGGAAGGCTCGATAATTTGTGGCGGTTGATGTTTATAATTTCTAAGTTTTTTATTTTTTTATTTTCATGCTGTTACTGTCTCTCTGGAAAGATCAGACCGTGACTAGCGCAGATGGTGCTGATGCTCCCAAATCATGGAGCATTTAGAGAGTCCCAGACTGGTTTGGGTGGGAAGAGGCTTTAAAGCTCATCTCTTTCCACTTCCTGCCATACGGTGAGGATAAGGAGATGGTAGAGCAGATCGCCTTCAGCTGGAAGGCGTTTGGCCAGGCACAACTTCATTTCAGCCTAGAAGAGATTCTTTAGTCAATGCCGACCCTTAGAATCACCCTGTTATACCAGAAAGACATTTGAAAAGTAGATCACAGAATCCCAGAATGGTTTGGTTTGGAAGGGACCTCAAAGCTCATCCTGTTCCAGCCCTGCCATGGCAGGGACACTTTCCACTCTCCCAGGCTGCTCCAAATCCCGTCCAACCTGGCCTTGAAATAAACACAGAGCAGAGCCAAGCGGGAGCCCTGTGGGGTGCAGGCACAGCTGGGAGTGCTGGGAATGCCGGTGTGGCTGGAGTACTCCGGAAAACTCATGAAAACTCAGCTTCAGAGAGCTCAGAAGGAGGTTTTGTAGTCCAGCTCTCCAGTTCAAAGCACTGTGTGCTGGGAGTTCAAACCAGGGCACTCAAGATATGCTTGAACTGTGTAGAAGTGAGAGGTTTCAAAGGTCTCCTTCATTGCAGAAGGAATTAATAAGCCTGAGTGTGTGTGCCCATGTGTCTCAGAGCTCCCCAAACTCTTGGCAATAGTTACAGTCTCATGGAATCCAGCTGCTTGTGATGAGAGGCACCAGCTGCTGCTCTGGGAAGGGATGGAAACTGATATCAACTGAATATTTGGAAATATTCAAAATATTTTAGCAGTAAAAGCTTCAGAAACTTAAATTGTGAAAAATAACAGAATATTTTTTTCCTTTTCTGGGAATACTGTTGGGTCTGACTGTCATGTGGCACAAGAGGCAGCACTGGTTTGAGGACAATTGTGCTGCTGTTGGGTGCTTTCCTATTTCTGATCAGCTTTAGCACCCGAAGGATTCCAGGCTCACTGAGACTGGACAGAAGCAAGACTAAAGCACTTGTGTAATAGGCAAATCTAAGATCCGATTTCCAGTCTTTAAACACTTTGTCCTTAAGTACAGCACTGAGCCCTCGGCAAACAGATGGTTTGACCTTCCTCCTGTCTCACTTGTCGGAGCGGGTTGGGCTGCGCGTGGCTGAGTGTTTGTCTGGGAGCGGAGCGGGGTGGCTGTGCCATCTGGCAAGTGGCTCTGGACATGCTGGATCCAACTGTCGGCTTTGGGAATGGATCCGGCATCGACACAAGCAGATCCTTGGCAGTACCTGTGGGGCTCAGAGCCCGAGCGCTGAAAAGCAACTCTTGGAAGGAAAAAGGCTCAGTGTGGTGGTGTCAGGCTGTTGGATACAATCACAATCCGGAATAAACACTGCATTTAAGGAGCAGTCCTGCAATGGCTGTGACAAGTGACTGGAGCTGACCAAATGGAGTTTGTTTTCCTTCTGTCCCTGGCATTTAGGAGCCAGGGGGCTATGCAGCCGGTGCTTTGTACCACGTCATTCTGCCCGAGTCATGGAATTGATGGGAACAGTCACAATCTGTGTGAGAGCAGCACATGCCAGGGCAAGATGAAAAGGACCCCAGGGAGCCCTTGGCATCTGTCACTGGCACTTTGGAGAAGGAGGAGAGCACAGAATGCTGTGTGGGGTTTGACCTGGGGGGCTTTTGTAGCCAGAGCATGTGGGTGAATCTGCTGGCCCTTAACAGGGACAGGGTTTTTGAGTCACAGCCACTGTTGTGCCTCACTTCTGCTGCTTTAGGGGGGCAGTACTGCTGGTCTTAGGCAAAAGGAATTGCAGCTATGGATTTATGGAGGGACCTGGCTGGCTGGACTGTATTGGTCCAAGCTGTCCTGCTTTCCCTGGACAAGATGACTTGTTGATCAGATGGCAGGGTTCAGATGGAGGGGTTGTGCTTGGAGGGCAATGTGCACAGCAAGGCACAACTTCCCCTTCTGTCCCTGCTCTCAGTGTCTGCATGAATCACACCCCGTCTGTCCCTCTGTGAAACCAAGTGGGGAGATCTGGGATTGAAATAGAAATTTGGGCTGTACTGGTACAGCCCACACTGGCACCAAATGTGAATCAGAGTCAAAGGTTTCTGCTCCTCCTGGACAAGTAACTGTTGTCTTTGGTGAGCAGGAACACTTTGAGCCTCAGGCTGATTACTGCATCCCTGTCTTGTCCCCTGGGACAACCAAGTCCTAGTGAGGTAATTCCCAAAATAAGGTCAGGAAAAAGGGAGGGAGGGATGAACTCTACAATGCGCTGGCCTGTGCACCTGAGGAGCTGTTGGTAGGAAGAGCCTGTGAAGATGCTCAGCCTTTTAGAATCCATAGATTGCTGAGCCTTTATTCCCACAGGGTCTCAGGGAAGCACTGGGCTGGATGGAGAGAACGAGAGCTTTGTCTCTGCCAAGGCCAGTAGTGCAAGGGGCGATCTGCTCAGGAATTTGCAAAGTGGTGATTGCAGCTCAGACAGGGTTGAGCCCAGTGTGGGTTGTTGCAGAAGTGGGAGCAATGCACATCTTTGGAAGAGGTGATGGCCCTTAAACCCTTATTCACTCTCAGGAAATCCTTAGTGATGTGAGCTGGGGACAGTCACCATCTCTTCATGTCTCTGCTTGGGAAATGAGGGAATGTGGCTCAGCAGAGTTGTGGATTTCTGCAGAGCTTCACAAGAGGGCAGAAAACAGCTGCAGAAGAGCGAGTGGCTCTGGGAGCCTGACAGTGAATTTCTGATGGAAAATTCTTAGGGAAGCTTGGGTCTGCTTGGAGGCAGGAGCATATTGCAGATTTGCCAGCAGAGCTGGAATAAACATGGAGCAGAGAGCAAAGCCAAGAGCAGTGTCCCTGCCGAGAGCACCTTGTGTGAGCGGCTCTGCATTTTGTATGAGCAGTTACAGCCTTCCCCATCCCTCTGTCTCCTGGGGATGGCAAAGGGGATTTATTCCGGATACAAGTGTGGGGAGAGCAGGAAGGTGAAATGAAGCTATGGGAAGGTGTTTACTCAGGGTTGTGGGAAGTTTGAGAAGGGGTGGTTG